TTGGAGGAATTATTTAGGATGGGAGATGTGTGCTGAAAGTAGATATTGGAACAAACATGATAGCTTCTCAGTATCTATATTCCAAACCATAATGCCCAAAAGTAGAGAGAATATGGGGGAGATTTTCTGCCATAGAGTCAGAGGGAGGGTTGGAATGGGGAGTTATACTGGGGACACTGGTAGTGGAGAATGTGCACATGGAATTCGCTCATTTTATGACTAAAACTCAAGCATAAAAGCCTTTTAACTGTATCTTATGGTGATTCAATTAAAAAAAGAAAAAGAAGAACCATGAGGGATTTCCAGTCAAGATGGCAGTAGTGCAGCAGCAAGCGACAGAGTTGGTGGAGGGATGGCAGTTCTCAGAGCTCTGAAGAGCCATCGGGGTCACAAAATTTCTGCAGGAGTGAATGTGGGTTTTCCTCGAATATCCTGTCTCAGAGAGAGCACCACTAAATGAAATCAGCCTGTTGCCCACTGTGGAGTGCCGGACCAGAATGGGACTCGTGAGGATGTCAGCAGTGCGGCCACCAGCTGACAGATCTGGGCAGCAGCAGAGATTTAACGTGTCTAAATAAGATTCTCTTGGGCACCACTGTGGAGCGCGAGTCTCAGTGTTGAGGATACACCCCAGGTTCCGACCAGGGGGACCCAGTGATTTGCCACTGGCAGGGTGGTCCCAGCTCCAATTCTTCCCCAGAGCAGCCTATGCTGCCTGTAACATATTATAGAGGATGTCCCTGAGTGCCAACTGTTTGGAGACCAAAGATCAGGGCATGTGGCCACTAGTCAGGTTCTGCTGGACTATTGGCTACTGCCTGCCCAGAGAGCCCAGCACATGATTGGTAGCAGTCCTGATCCTGGTTCTGGCCCCTGTTGGACCACTGCTTCTGTTGCCACTGGGGTTCAGGGGGCACAGCACTGCTGACAGGTCAACCTGGACCACAGAGCAAGTGCATTAATAGCCTGATGGTGCCTTTGGGCTTGCTGACACCCCCAAATGGCCACTATGCCTCTGGCCGGACTCCAACAAGCCAGGACCAAGTTTCCTCAGAAACTGTACCACCAAAACTTAGGTATGTGGGAGCCAAGCTCACAAATGACCTCTGGCTCAGCCATACAAGGTCATTTATCGACCTTGCTTCAGAGACCCATAAATAAATCTTGAAAGTGACCAAAAGTCACAGTAAATCTCGGACCCACACAAGGCTGAACAGACTATGGTACATCAGAAGGAGGAGGTTAGCCCAGTGCCCACCCAAACAGAGCCCCCAGCAGCCTCTTGTTCCCACAATCCAAAATCACCGCCAGGCCCAGACCAGATTCATCTTGGAACAGACCTCACTGTGAAAATCTGCTGAAAATTCAGGTATGCAGGTTTTGTGACTGAGATCTCCAGACTTCCTCAGGGTCAGGATAGGCTACCTCCACCTCCCTGAACCTCCTGAAGCCCTGGCAGTTATGTCCACACTCCAAAGCTACCACATTTTAAGAAAGCTAGTACAGCTGTACCTTCCCAACAAAAATACTTAATGCCATAAACAAACACAATGATTTCTTAGTACCTGTACTGTAAACCATAATGCACGAGAGAGAGAGAGAGAGAGAGAGAGAGAGAGAGAGAGAGAGAGAGAGAGTGCCTGCCACAGAGGCAGGTGGAGCAGGGGAGAGGGAGTAGGGGAGTGGTGGGAAGAAAACTGGGGGACACTTGTGGTAGAAATAGTACAGTGGTGGACGGATGGGTGTTGGAACATTGTATGACTGAAACACAGTCATGAATTGCTTTGTGATGGTCTGTCTCACAGTGATGAAAGCAAGAAAGCAGGAGGAAGGAGGGAGGGAGGGAGGGAGGGAGGGAGGGAGGAAGGAAGGAAGGAAGGAAGGAAGGGCAAACGAACAGTGGTAGCTACTTCCATCACAGCTCTATGTTGTCTAACAAATCTTAGAATGTGACTAAGTTTTATTCTCGACTCATCACTCACTAATCACATTGCCCAACACTTAGTTCTTTGTGTTATTAATTTTAGATTAATGTTGAAAAATCAGTCCCATGATCTGAAATGAATTATCACTAAAAGATCTTTCCTTCACTCCCTCCTCCACCCCACTTCACTAGAGCTGAGATTCAAGGGCCTATATGCTATATTACACATAGTTGTAATATATCTTTTGTTGTGCTATGCTGGATTTTTCAAACATATGTGCCTCCTAATTGTCCTCTGCAAGAGTTTTCGAACATATATATGGCAGAGTACCAGAAAATCATGATGTGCTTTTTGAAATTATCATTGTTAGTGAAATGCAAATAAAATAGGATATATTAAATTCTGTTATAAATATGAGAAAAAATCATAGCATAAAGTATTACTGTGTATATTTTCTTAATAAAACACAACCAAGGACTTACATATTACAACAAAAATAAGTTTAAAAATTTTACAGGCTCAATTTAAGTTCCTGCATCAGTAATACTGAACTATTTCTTTGTACTGATTATAAAAGACTGAATGCTTACTAAAAGAAAATAAAAATAATTGACATTAAAACTTGTAAGATAGAACATAGACTGAAAACTGGGCACATTTTATCTATATAACTTACCATTTTCTAGTCAGGTCCGAAAAGGTGACATTTACTAGACTTAAACACAAACCCATGCACAGCTTGCAGGAGGTCACAGTGCCACAGACTAGTTTGATTAGTTTGAAAATCCAACTTTGACATAATCAGGGGGAGCCAAGTTAAGATGACTGCAACCCCCTACGAGCAGTCCCTAAGCCAACCCTCTGCAGAGAAGTAGATGGTCTCTGAGAGGCCATAGAGAGCCAGGGAATGACTTCCTTAGCCTACCTAGAAAGAAAGGAAACACCTGGAAGTCCAGAGACCCGTGCAGGGATCTGCAAGGTGAAAACTATTTTCATAAACACTCTTAAGTTAGCATGTGCCCTTTTTCACTCTCATTCTCCAACAAGTGCCCCATCCAGCTCTCCAGAGGCTACTGACTGACTGTAAAAGTAGACTGCAAAGTCTAGCTGTCATCCGGTAAACTAGACACTGAAGATCTGCAAGCATGTAAAATATAACTTCTTTCTTTTTTATACTAGGAAACAGAACTTTTAAACAAACATGTTATCCAAGGGGCCAGAGCGATAGTATAGAGGGTTAAGAACTTGCCTTGTATTCAGCTGACTCGATTTGATCCCCGACATACCATACGGCCACTCAACTCCCATATGGCCAGGAGTAATTAAAACAGAGCCAGAAGTAATCCCTGAGCACAACTGGGTGTGATCCTCAAACAAACAAAAACCCAAAAATAAAATGTCCAACTGTACTAGTCTAACCAGTATAATGAAATTATGCTTTAATTTTCAACCATTTAAGGACTTACAGATGTAACTCACAAAATCTCTTTGAGGTGTCAACTGACTTTCAGGGTGTTAAGGGTTCTACAGATCAAAAAGTTTGGGAACCTCTGGCTGAGAGTGGGAAATCTCTAGGCAAAGTCTGAGAGACTGTGGCTGGGGAACAACCATGAAAGGCTTTGAAGACCTGATTCCTAGACATTCTTAAAACCCTGAAATAATTTATATTTGAGAATCAGAGATATATAACTATTTCTCTAAAAACCTTTAAAAAAATCAGGGCAATTCATCAGAGAGCTATATACAAAGTTGCATGAGTTGGGCTTTCAAGAGAAAAACTTGGATAGAGGCTTAAGGTAAGTGAGATATAAGTAGCTCACATTATCCCAGTCTAAGAGTCGATTTCACTTCTACCAAGAACTATATCCAACTGGTAATTACTGTGCCACTTGAAGATTCAGGAACTTTCACTAGGCAGTGAAAGGACAATTAATTTAATGAATATACTACACAGAGTAGTCATTTAAAGTTTAAGATCCCTAGTCCATTCTCTGTTTTGGAGATTTGGCTGTTTCTCACCCTGTATCTCAATCTTAAGTGTACGAACTGATTTGCCTGTATCTTTCCTCTGGAGAACATAAAACTCAGTCTCCTTCCTCTCTCTCGCTCTCTCTGCCTCCCATCTTCCCTCTCTCTCTCCCCCCTCACTCTCTCTCTCCTCCTTCCTCACTCTTAATTTATCTAAACAATTTTACTCCAAAACTAAATTAACTTTAAGATCTCTCCCCCTCAATTATGGTGGGAGAAGGGATCTTGTGTTGCCACAAATAATCAGGTCCAGATGAAGGGCCTCATATCCAAGTGAAGAACATGGAGTGGTCACAAATTGCTCCTCACTATCAATCACCTTGGAAAGACCCTAAAGTGTTTATTATTTAGTTTGGGTAACACAGTATTAACATCTGCCATCCATGGGTTAAATTAAGGCTTTTATAAAAGAGTTGTGCATAATAACATTGTTATTTTTTTATACACCAACAGGGTGAGAAAAATAACAAAATAATGTCTTAGTATAACTTTTTGACCTGTTAATAAATAGAATACGTTAATATTTACTTCATCTGTCTTTTCACACTTCTCATTTAAAAAATAATGTCATGTTAACAGGAGTAGAATCTAAAGTTTTTTCTTTGACCTCTCACACGCAAAATTCTATAATAAACTACCCCATTTTAGAATATAAATAATAGAAATGTATCTTCAACACAAAATTAGGGCAAATTTTAATAGAATAATAACTTATTATTATCATCTTGACCTTGATTCTTTTTCTTATATTTCACATCAGTGTAAACAATATCCATTCTATTTTCTGCAAAACTGTAAAGTCTTCTAAAATGTAAAATACTTCATACATAATATCTTAGTTATTGTGCATCATAGTACAAATGGTGCCTCAGAATATAGCAGAAAATCAATTAATACTTGCTAAATGAACAGATACAAAAATGAACACCATTGTCATCTGGACAACCAGTCTAGACAGGCTTTGTGAGAGACATTTCATTTGTTTTTATATTCTCACAATTATCCTTAGAAATGGAGTTGGAAAATTTGAGAAGGATAGTAACTTACCCAACATGACATACCTGGTAAGAGACTGGATTTAAATTCCGGTCTGACTTCAAAGCCCATGAGCTAGAGCAGTGGTTCTGAAAATAGGTGAATATAAGAATCATGTGGAGAACTTAAGAAATAAGCAAATAAAATCCCAATCAAAAAAGTATATAAACTATATTAAGTGATCCTGTGTTAAAAGTGAAAAATATAACCATCTAAATGAGTTAAAGGAAAGAAGTCTAAGAAGCACTAGATAGTACTCTTCTGACTGCAAACTGGAAGACCAAAGAAAAAGAGAATTGTACACAGATACTATATGCTATATAGTAAATATTTTTTTTTCATTGGGACATAGGCAAACAATTCTGAAAGCATTTTATGTTAACGTTTCTGAATTTTGAGAACGCTGGCATCTTGGACCATGTAAGGTTTTGTTTCAGTGCAGTCTTGTGCACTGTAGGAAAGTTTGGAACATCCCTAGTTTCTATTCACTAGATGCCATTAGCACCCTGCTCCCAGTTATGGTAACCTAGAATGTCTGCAGACACTGCCATATATCATCTGGGAGACAAAAATGTTCCAGTCGAGAACTACTGCTTTATGCATATATTAGGCTGAAATGATTATGTAAATACATTATGAATAATGAAAGCCTCATTTCTCACTGGAGAAATGTAACTAGAAAAAGTTACAAATAATAAAAGGAGAAACATTAGAAAGAACACTGTCTTACTGGATTTGAATCAGAAGCAGAAATCTATAGACTCCTACTCAGAGCTTACTAAGTAGTTGTATACAAAACCCAGTTTATAATATATGTATATATATATATATATATAACTATATTTAGCTCCATCTGCTGAAAAGGTCTAACAGCAATGCAACTTAAGAAGCAAGGAGTGCATCTAACATCCAGATTTTAATTCCTAAATACCATTTTCCAAATTATAAAACAAAAAACAATGGGAAATGTACACTGATGAAGGAACAGGTGTTGGAACATGGAAATTCAATCATGAACAACTTTGTAACTGTGTATCTCATTGATGATTTAATTTAAAAAAAAACCCTAAAATTCTAAAAACCAAAACAAAACAGGATTCCTTGGAGTTCTAGAGCTATTAAAGAAGAAAGATAAGATGAGGCAGAAATAGCTGAATACTTCAAAGAATAGAGGTCTCAAAAATTTGCAGTGGACACAAAAGCCAATTCAAAGGAGCTCATTATAGCCGAGTTGGAATAATTTGAGAAACAAAGCAAATTAATAAAGTTGTTGCATTAATACACAATATTTATGAAGCCATATTATTATAAATAAACAAGTGATGAACAAAGGGTATTTCTTCCTTATAGTTAGCTTTCCAATTATTGAATATAGAAAGAATAGTGAAAATGATATATCACCATTAGGTAAATGCCATGTTTGACTCAAAATGCCATTTAGTAAGAAGCTACCCATGGTTTGATGAGAAACAGGATATTTACATAATCATCAAAGCTAGATGGGTCTTCTTGCAATTATTATTGTTATAATTATTTGTCTAACAGTGATTTTTTTATGGAAAAAGAGTAATAAGCACAACTTTAAAAAAAAATAAAAAAAAAAGAGTAATAAGCAAGGAATTTCCCATTTAATATGGGCAGAGGAAAAAAAACAGCATCTAGAGTTAAAAACTGGACAGACACCTTAACCAAGTGGCCAAAATTATATCATCAGGAGTAGCACCATATACCCCTAATATGATGCTTTAACAAGTATATAGCCTCACTTCTGTGTTTTTCCCCCAAAGCCATAGACTCAATCTAATAATTAGAAAATATCAGATATGCTCAAACTGAAGAACATGTTTCAAACTGTCATACCCATTGCAGAAAGAAGGGAAAGATTGAGTAACTATTACAGACTACAAAAGACTAAGAAAACATCATAATTCAGTGCAATGTGAGATCTTCACTTGAACTCTGGGGCACAGAAAAGATTTCAGTGGGAACACTGGCAAAATAAGATTTATAGATTAAGTGACAGTATTATAACAACGCTAGTTTCCTTGTTTTAGTAATTGCTATAGTTATTTAAGATAACATAAAAGATGGTTGAAGGGTCAAAGGGAACTCAAAAGTTTTTTGAAGATTTTAGAATTAGTTCATTACACTGAAGGAAACAGAGGAAAAGTTGGCTACCATTCCTCCACAAAGCTGACTATCATTATGTCTTTGACTCTAATAACATGGGAAACAAATGCAGAAATAAACAGATGAAATTACATCAAATTAAAAACTTTCAGTACTGAGAAAGAAACTATCTTTAAAATAAAAAGACATCCTTCCAAATGAGAGAAAATATTCACTACCATACATCTGACAAAGGTGTATTATCCAAAATATGCAAAAAAAAAAGCTAGCAAAACATGGGGAAACAGTTCAAAGGGTTCATGCATGATATGCATGCTGGATTCAATCCAGGCATGGCATGGTTCCCTGAACACAACTGGCAGCAACCAACCCCACCTCTCCAGCAATGAGCCAAGAGTAGCCCCCAATACTACTGGGTGTAGTCCAAGAAACATAAGAATAAAAGTGGGGGCATTTAAAACTCAACAACAGGAAAGCAACTCCATTGGAAAATGGGTAGATGAATTCAACAGGCTTTCCACGAAAGACGATAAACAGTCATATGAAAAAATACTCATTATCACTGACTGTTGGGGAAATGTAATATAACAGCAACCTTACACCTGTGAGAACAGCCCATACCAACAAGGCCAGAAATGCATATTGACAAAGGTATGGTGAAAAAGGAAACAATGTATACACCACTGATGGGGATATAAATTTGGCCTAGTCCTCACAGATAGCAGCATGGAGACTTCTCAAAAAATTAAAAATAGATCCAGGAATTCCACTCCTAGATATCTATCCCAAGGTAGTTAAAAGACTTATCTGCAAAAAAGAAAAGCACACCTCTCTTCACTGCAGTATATTTACAATATCTGGAATTAAGTGCCAAAGGATAGATGAGTGGATAAAGAAGTTGTGACATTTAGATACAATGAATACTACTCTGTGATATGAAAAGGTGAAATGTTACCTTTTTTTTCCATTTTATGTGTGTTTTTATTTTTTTTATTTTTTTATTTTTATTTATTTATTTTTTTACAGTTGTAGATTTACAATTTTTTTTGTGCTTGGGTTTCAATTATACAATGATCAGATACCCATCCCTCCACCAGTGCCCGTTTTTCACCACCATGGATAATATCCCTCCCACCCCCATCCCCCCATCCCCCCCTGCCTCTGTGGCAGGACAATCCCCTGTGTTCTCTCTCTCCGTTTGGGTGTTGTGGACTGCAAAAGAGGCATTGAGTGGCAAACATGTTCAGTTCATAGTCTACTTTCAACATGCATCTCCCCTCCTGGGAGGATCCTCCAAGCATCCTTTATTTGGTGCTCCCTTCTCTATCTGAACTGCCCTTTCCTCTAGGATACCCGGCTGGCCTCTAAGTTATGGAGTAATCCTCCTGGTGCTGATCTCAGCTATTCTTGGGTATTAATCTCATACTTTGTTACTTTATATCCCCCAGATGAATGCAATCTTTCTATGTCTATCCCTCTCTTTCTGACTCATTTCGCTTAGCATGATACTTTCCATATTGTACCACTTGTATGTAAATTTCACGACTTCATCTTTTCTAACAGCTACATAGTACTCCATTGTGTAGATGTACCAAAGTTTCTTTAACCAGTCATCTGTTCTTGGGCATTCAGGTTTCTTCCAGTTTCTGGCTATTGTAAAGAGTGCTGCAATGAACAAACAAGTGCAGATGTCACTTCGACTATACATTTTTGCTTCTCTGGGATATATTCCCAGGAGTGGTATTGCTGGGTCAAATGGGAGCTCAATTTCTAATTTTTTGAGAATCGTCCATACTGTTTTCCAGAAGGGCTGAACCAGTGGACATTCCCACCAACAGTGAAGGAGTGTCCCTTTCTCGCCACATCCACGCCAGCATCGGTTGCTTTTGTTCTTTTGAATGTGGGCCAGTCTCTGAGGTGTGAGATGGTATCTCATTGTGGTTTTGAACTGCATCTCTCTGATGATTAATAATGTAGAGCATTTTCTCATGTGCTTTTTTGCCATTCGGATTTCTTCTTTGAGAAAGTTTCTGTTCATTTCATTGCCCCATTTTTGGATGGGGTTGGATGTTTTCTTCTTGTGGAGTTTAACCAGTATTTTGTATATCCTGGATATCAACCCCTTGTCAGATGTGTATTCGGTGAATATCCTTTCCCATTCTGTAGACTTGGTCACTGTTTCTTTGGAGGTGCAGAAGCTTCTTAGTTTAAGATAGTCCCATTTATCTATCTCTGTTTTCACTTGCTCGGCCAGTGGCGTGGCATCTTTGAAGATACCATTAGCTTCAATGTCATGGAGGGTTTTGCCAACTTTATCTTCAATGTACCTTATGGTTTCTGGTCTGATGTTGAGGTCTTTAATCCATTTTGATCTTACTTTTGTACATGGTGTTAGGCAGAGTTCTGAGCCTATTTTTTTGCATGTAGCCGTCCAGTGATGCCAACACAATTTATTAAAGAGGCTTTCCTTACTCCACTTCACATTACTTGCACCTTTATCAAAGATTAGATGAGCATATGATTGAGGAGAGATGTCAGTGTATTCAACCCTGTTCCATTGGTCTGCAGTTCTGCCTTTGTTCCAGTACCATGCTGTTTTAATTATTACTGCTTTGTAGTAGAGTTTGAAGTTAGGGAGGTTGATTCCTCCCATTTTCTTTTTCCCAAGAATTGCTTTAGCTATTCGTGGGGGCTTATTGTTCCATATAAATTTCAAGAGTGTTTGCTCCATTTCTTTGAAGAATGTCATGGGTATCCTTATAGGGATTGCATTGAATTTATACAATGCTTTCGGTAGTATTGCCATTTTGACAATGTTAAGTCTCCCGACCCATGAGCAGGGGATATCTTTCCATTTCCTCATGTCCTCTTTTATTTCCTGAAGTAGCGTTTTGTAGTTTTCTTTGTACAGGTCCTTTACTTCCTTAGTTAAGCTGATTCCTAGGTACTTGATTTTCTG